TTCGTATCCCTAAAACCGATTCATTAGATGTGTAGGTAATGTGCACTGAGAATTTCCAAGAAAGAAAAGAGTTGATCTACGCGTTATACAAGAACAGGAAGCTTTCTTATCTGCCTAAGATTAATCAGGTCTCTTTCGAAATCTTACAATTACTCATAATCTTTTTTTTTTACTAATGTATGCTCGTTTTTATTACTGTTTTGTACTTTTTTTCTTTCTTTTGTAGCCTACCTTGATAATTTGGGGAGAACACGACCAGATTTTCCCACTAGAATTGGCTCATAGATTAGTGAGGTTAGTTTTATATCTATTACGTTTCAAATAGTCACTTGCTCGATTACTCATATATTATCTTCTTGGAGGATGAAGGCATATTAATTTTTTCTGTATCTTTTTTTGTAATGACTCGGTTTACAGGCATTTGGGGAACAATGCAGAGCTTGTAGTATTGAAAAACGCCGGGCATGCGATTAATATGGAGAAAACAAAGGAATTCTATAGACATTTGAAGTCATTTCTTGCTTTGCCAGCAGGTCTTAAGCTCGAGGGCAGTACCAATGGCTGCAAGGTCGACTAAAATATTTTTCGAGCTGTTTATATGAGTCAGCTTGCAATTGTTGAAGTTCATATGAGTCAGTTTCTCAAAGAAGTCCAGCAGGATGGATTGGGAATATATTGGAAGTGTAGAAGCAAATGGGCGATGAAGTATAAAGAGTCACTATTATTATTATTATTTACATTTTTTTTTTTCACTCTTTTGATGTGTAAAGATGAATCAAGTTTATGTGTAAAGATGAATCCATATCACCATCTTGGTTATTAGTTATTACTTATTCCGGCTATCTTTGATAAACCTAGCTGATAAGTTAGTTGACAGATGATAAGTGAATTTTAGTCGATAAGTGAATTTTGAGTTTATAATCGATAACTTATGACTAATGGTTCAAAAGCTAGCTGATATGATAATGATAATAGTGTTTGAGCTAGCTGATATGATAATGATAATAATATTTGGTAAAATTAGTTAAATAATTCAATTGAAATAAGAATTTCAACTATCTTATTTAAAAAGTCAAAAAAGCTTATGAGATAAATCTCGAATTTGTTTAAAAAATTTTATCCAATCAAATCAAATTTATTTATATACAAGAAGTTTATAAGCTCTAAACTAGTTTATGGTGCTTAATCAAACACATTTTACATCATTTTCTCGAGTTGATCAATATCTGGATTTGCATCCTATAAAAAGTCTTAATTAGTGGTTATTATTTGTGCAGGACATTACCAATAACGAGGATTTACACGAAACATAAAATATTTGTTCTTAACCAAGCAAGATTTGCATCAGGATTCAATATGTGCCCAAACAAGGATGAAAATGAATCAAGTAGCTCATGCACGAGTCAAAGCAAAGTTTGAAATCGAGCACTTCGAACTCTAGCCGAAATGTTATAAACTCAAGTGCTCGGGAAGCCACGCGAGTATAAATGTAAATACCCTAAATATAATTTACTTAGCTCGATAAGGCCGATGCTCGGCTCAGCTCAGCTCGTTTACACTATATGGCTTGAGCACGAGTACTCGGAAACTCAAAATCATGTATGGTATATTCACATTTTTTTTTTTTTTTCAACGGAAAAATCTTATAGAATATGCACAATTTGTTCGGCCTAAGACTACTATTACAACATAATGGATCCAAGCTATCGTACCTTCTCATTGATTTTACAATATCAAAATCCCACAATATTGATTAAAATTCTGCATAATGTTTATTTATTTTGCAGCAACAACATTTTTAAGCAATGCCTCTAAGTCTGCCAATCTGCACAAACAAAATCCAACATGCAAAAAAGAAAAAAATAGGGTGAAATAGATTTCTACACAAATTATTAGTTTAATTGGGAGGTATACATATATATGTATATATTACCTGACATTGCTCAAGTTAGGGTATACTGCTGCTGCCTCTTTAAAATCCTATATAGGAAAAACCGTAAATCAAGTCCATGAAGTCACTATTTCCCTAGAAATTTATTATACTATATTTTCTAATACTTATTTATTTTTGATGGATGAAGCAGAAAAAAGAACAATTTTTTTTTTTTTTACCTGGTTAGCAGTGGATGGTGTATGAGAGATCACACACGACATTCCTGCTCCAGTTGCGGCCTGTAATAATTTAGCTCTGCTAAAAATGGAGTTGACATTGCATATAGAGATAATTTTTCGGCAATTTGCACGACTATTGAAGGCACACGCAGGTGCATGTACAAAAAATGACTCGAGAAAATAAATTATATTGAGTGCTCCAACTCAATTGGAGTAACCTGTAAAATAGAAAAATATATATGACGGGTGAGGATATTCATAATTTTGAAATATCTTTGCTTTCTTATTGGAATTTAAGAATTATGAATCAAAACGAACCGAAATGGTATTCTGCTACAATTAAGCACTTATATACTTTCTTGACCACTCAAGATCTATCAGCAATAGACAGAGCTCTTCGCTTTTAAAACTATAGTCATAAAATTCGAGAATTTTTTATCATAATGAGAATAATATAAACCTGAAGTCCGATGACACTATCTTCTATGACCAAGCAATCCTTCTCTGAGATGCCCAGTCTCTATGACGCATAATAAATATATCACGGCATAAAACAAGTTAAAGAGGGTAGATTGTAAGTTGTTAGCAGCTCAACATAATGAAATTGATTCTAAATCACCTCAACAGCTGTCAAATAAATCAAGGGATCGGGCTTTTTCTCCTTGACATCATCCCCTGTGGAATCAACACGACAGGGAAGGAAAAATGATCTCCAAATGCTATGTATATATAGTTTTTTTTTTTTTTATGATGAGAACATAAAGTTTTTTTTTATGTCGGTTCTCATCAAGATTAAATCACCAGATAATCTCCAAATGATCAGGCAATGCGAAAATGTAGCATAAAGGAAAAGGCGGAACAAGAAATTTTCAGTTTTTTCATACGTACCTGCAAGGAAGCAATCAAGGCTTTGGAATCTCTCCTGCAGCAATACAATAGAAGATCACTGAATTAACCAGTAAATACAAATAAAATTTCAATTTGAAAGAATTTTCCCACGAATATGTAAACGAAATTAACCAATTTCAAGTGGAATAACCTAGTGAACCTCTGGTGATCACTTGAAAGAGAACTTTTATATTACGATACACAATAACAATTGTTGTTTTGGTTCATATGAGAATTGGGCTATGCTTAGCCATCAATGTCCTGGTTTGTACATATTCCCAATTTAGGAATAATTACAAAAAACTAATAATGAAGTAGTTTAAAGTAACTCAGATATCTTTAACCTACAAATATCTCCTTGAGGTTCTTACTAATTGCGCAATTTACGCACTCGATTACATGCAATTTGTAAAACAGAGATACATGTCAAGGGTATGATTGTGAGGTTGAATATCAGAAATAAAAATAAAGAGCTGACTTTTACCATTCCAATCAGATTTTCCAGACAGAGGATAACCGAACTTTTAGTTGCAGCAGAGCAAACTGCCAGTTTTTTTCCCTACAAGGCAAAAGAGAACCAGATAAAGTGTAAAAATAGAAAAAATGTAAAATTGGCATTCTATCAAGCAAACTGGAGATGACATCAAGAAATGGAACACGGACAATGTCTGTACAAGCCTTTGAGGATTGATGAAACAGGGGAAAATTGGATAAGGTTAGATAGAAGCTTATGAAATGCTAAAGAAATGAAATTTCGAGACTGAAAAACTTTCTTACAGAAGCTTTTGCCTCATCCATCAATCTCAAAACTCCAGGTCTTGGCTCAACCTGCTCAATGCAACATAATCAAGTTCGTCATCGAATCAAATAAAGAAATAATCAACAGAAAGGCCTGATACTTTTTCGTTTACAAGAGAATTTTTAAAGCTAAAACTTGAACAAGCAAATACTGCAGGTGTTAACTTACTGTTCCAGATTTAATTATTTCTTTATACCTCTCGGTTTTCCAGTCCTGCAGTAAAGGAATCAATGTCGATAAATATATGACCGAATTGAACACATAATTTAAGATAGACAACTTCATGTGGTTTTCCGGATAATTTTGTGGTCAAGATGCACTCGAAGTCGAATTTGCGAACTTCATGTTGCATTTTACCCAAAATATACTTTAGGTTGCAAAAGCAAAATACGTATATAGTACAAGTGTATAATTATTTTACCCTTTCCTAATCATTTCCTCTATGTAGAAGAGCAAGCCAACATTTTCATCAGGATGCATTTGGGAAGAAAAAAAAATCCCCAATTTGCTTGAGTTAGTAACAAAACTCTTTAATTGCATTGCCAAATAAGATCATTCATATTCCAACTATCGTCAGAAGCTACAGTGCCCAAAGGAAATGAAGAAAGGGAGAAGAACAAAACCAGCTTAAATTCATAATTGAAACCTGAAGAACATCAATCAATACTGCTCTATCTTCGTCTTTCACCGGCGATTTATCGAAAATCGTTGAAGTTGGCCAACCATGCTCCTTAAAATACCTTCAATCAGATCTCCAAAATAAAACGGCAGCACTGAAAAAAACTGGATAAAGTGCAGAAACAGAGCAAGGAACTCGAAAATGAACCATCGCATTTTAGGTTTGCCTCCTCCAATTTGGTTCTGCAGCTCGTCGTAAAACTCTTCGCTCCAATTGAGCGGCGAAGATGACGGCGAGGACGGGCAGCGGACGTTGAAATGCGCGAAGGCATCGTTGTAAGCTTGGCGGTGGAGGTGCTCGGACTCTAGAATCACGCCGTCGCAGTCGAATATCAGTGCCTGGAGCGCGCGGGACGAGGCGGAGACGTCGACTACGGCGGGTTTGCCGGCGGCGGCTCGTGAAGCTGCGGCGGCAGAGGAGGAGAAGGTGGAGTGGGTTCGGGAGAGAGGGAAGAGAGATGGGGCGGCGCGAGAGGAGAAAGAGAGAGAGTTGGAGAGATTGGGTGGGAAGAGGAACATGGTGGAGGCAGCCATGGATAGTGCGTGTTGTGTGTGTGTGTGTGTGTCAGTGTATGTGGCTGTTGCAGGTTCTTGCAGTTATTTCAATTTCTATTTTCTTTTTTTTTTCCCCCTTGAAATCAATTAAATAAACTAAGTATTTAATATAAATTATTTTGAATTTTGATGGAATTTATTGGATAATTCGAATTAATTTTGAGAACCGTTGATTATATGGCATAGTTTTTAAACCCGGTCAAGAAAGATCCAAGAAGCCTCTAGATCATGTTCAATTATCGGGTCATTAGGTCAATTAATGAGCTAAATAATTAATTTTAATTATACAATTATCTATATAGTATTAAAAACAAATATATGTATATATAGGGATTGGGTCAAATTCGATTGACCCGGTCAAGTCGATGCTCAGGTAAAGGCCGGGTTGACCAAGTCTGAAGTCATCGCTCCGGGTTTTTCGGGTCCTAGGTCGACCTAGCGGACTAGTCCGGGTTGAAAAATTGTGTGTGGAGTTTTGAGTGGATTTTAAGTTTGTATTTAAATAATATTTAAAATATAATTATTAAAGTTGATGTGATATAAAAAAAGTCAATGAAAATGATAAGTAGTTAAGATTATGTAAATAGATGAATAGTGAATTAAAGTTGATGTGACATATAAAAATGATTAATATGCATGTTTAATTATTCGATAATATTTAGGAGAGTCAGGTTGGATTGATTTTGAATTGAATTTAAGTTAAACAATTGTAAAAAAAACTATTCGATTAGTCATATCAAATAACTTATATCCAGTTAGTAAAAAGAGTTCGATAGTGCTCAATCAGGGCGACTGGAGAATTTTCCATGTCGGGATTTGATTTTGAGTTGGCAAGGCAGAGATACTTGTACTAATGGTTGGACTTTTCTTTGTGATGCAGCAACCGCGAGTCCAAAATTGGTTTGGGTGGCTGGTTTCGTGATAGAAACGACGTACGTTAGGCAGCCTTAGCTACTTGCATCGGGGCTCATTTTCTCCTTTATTAGCGGAACCGCTAGCACTTTGTCATAGTCTCCGCTTTGCTCTGAACTCAGACTTAAAGGTGCAGGCGATGTTGACGGACTCGTTGAAAGTCGTTGGCGGCATTGCGAACTCGGAGGATTTGGACCCTCTCGTTGAGGTTTTTACGGGTATTAAGGCTCTTTTAACGGCTTTAGATTGCAGCTCGTGTTGCCATATCTCTCGGAAGGACAACGTGATGGCCCATAATATAACTAATTGGGCGATCTCTTCACATTCTTCTTATTATTGGAAAGACTCTCTTCCAATCTAGTTTTCTTGTATCTTTAATTAATTTGTATGCAATATTTTAATTAAAAAAAATAAAAACACTTAAAATGGTAATGATGAATTCATGAGCTTCAAATTAATTAGGGATTTTGAAGATTATGATAATAATAATA